TAAAACAAATTCGAATTAGTCAATACCAAGTGAACGTAAGTACATTAGCCTCTGTCTCAACAACATACGTGTTTAGCAACATACCTAAGTGACAGATAAAAATAAAATAGCAAGCTGCATCGTGTCTGTATGACAAACTAATATAGGTCATAACTACAGTCACGTGAAACAAAAACCCAAGCATTACTGCCAGCAACCGCCTGCAAAGAAATTAAAACTGGTTCGATGTTCTTGACTAAATAGCGTGAGTAACATTCATCAAAGATAAGGGTTAGGTCAAAGTCTACATGTTTTTTCTCTGCCAGGAATTCTTGTTTCGTATGACGAATGGAAAGCACATATTAGTTTTAGATTGTTTATAAAATGATAGTAAATATTGTCTGTTTAATCTTAAGTTGTAATTCCAACAAAAAGTGAACTGTTCTCTGTCTGTCTATTTCATAAAATGTGGACTGAATCGTAAATCAAAATGCAATTGAATGAATCCCAATAGTGTATGAATTAACAACCAGCAAGATACTTTTACTTTTAACCGAGGATAATTTTGTGTTTAATTTACTCGATAAAAACTATGATGTCAACAAAACAAGCGGCACTGACAAACATAAAAGAGCCCAAATTAAAGAAAAATGCACCAAAAAAGAGAATAAAGCCCAAAATTTATTGTTTAACAATATCTTGCGTTATACAAACGAAGGCGAACTTCTGAACTCAGAGCACTAGTTAACAAACATCCACAACCTCGTAAAGTTGCGGTTTCGTTCAACAACCTTACAAGGACTGGACATGATACCGACTGCACTGTATACAATGACAACAAGACGACAGATCTTTACGATGTTGCAAAACTTCAGAGAATAAATTAGACTATACTTTCGAGGTCAACCGAAGGTCCACACACTTCCATAAAGGCCTAAAACACTTCAAACGACGTAATATAGATATACAATTCAAAGTACGTAATTTGCATTAAAACAAGCCAATAAAAAGATATTAATCGTCATGTAAATTAATGAAAATTTGACTAATTAGCTTACTTTTAAAAGTCAATACATTTATCACCGACCTAATTTAGCCACAATTAGCAATAATAAAACATCTGCAATAAACATGCAATGCCGTTGATATCCTTACAATTTCATTAAAAGTTACAGCCATGATGTCCTTCTTTGGTACTCAGACACAGTACTTGAACAATAAAACGAAGTGAGATAGTCGTTGAATCACTTGACACACATTTGTGAGAAGAGAAATGCTTACGTAGAACGTCAAATATTTCAGGGGAAAGAACACAAAGACGAACATAAACATCAAAACAGAAAAGGAAGATAACGGCAAAGAAACTGCCTAAAGAGAAATTGTTGAAGATAGAGAAATGCTAGAAATGTCTATACATGAAATAAACCAGATAATATGGTAAATAATCTTTGTAAACCTCTCAATGATGCATTTGAATGCAGGAATGTGGCCATTAAATCCTGACTTGGAACGGTGTCACATATGTTAGGGCTCTAAAATACATGAATGTGCGTTTAGATATTTAATGCTTAAACGGACAATGGGAAGTAAATGACATTGGTATCTTTCCTTAATGCTAAATTATTCCCATAAAATTTCAATGAACATCACACTTTTATACCATTTTATTAGTTTTTGGAGATTACTCTGTTACTTTTCCAAATTCAAGACATTTTTTGTGTAAAAATTCTCAAATGTACTCGTTTTATTACATCATTAGGATGATATCTATCGCACAAAATGATTGTCCTATTTCGTTAGTCACTTAGAAAGCAATGATGATAACATCATTATTACATGGTTGTTTAATGAGACATATAAAGATAAAAAATTTAATTTTAGATAAGATGCGTAAGCGAGAAGCCCATCATACTTACTCCAATTTATTAACAGACGTCAAAACATTGATTCACGAAATATTAAAAATGTTTTGGAGAATTGAGACAACTATTTTCCGTGCTTAGGTATATTAGCTATTATATCCACTTCGTAGGATTTATTTATTTTAGCTTTGCATGGTTTAATTATAAAGTACACAGGCAATAAATTCTATAATTTACCGAAGAAATAAAAATGTTAGTTTATTGGTTAGCTTATTTATTCTACACTTTTCTGATGCAGTCTTGGAATTGTGTCTATTTTAAGAACCGTTTTTCTATTTTAATTTCCTTCAAAGATTCTTATTTATCTAACGGAGATAAAACAATCGTCATTATGATGGGAATTATCCTAAAATTACTTAACCAAGTCAACGTCTTCACTAACCTCTTTGACATTCTCTACGACAAAGAAATTTCTTCTTTATCGCAACCACTTGTGTGTCAAGAGAATTATAATGCCCACCGTAAACCAAATTTCACTTCACCTTCTTATCTATTTTCAATCTTATCTTTTATTACTTAAGCCATTTTATTGTTTAAACACTAACAAATTATCATGTCCATATCATTCGACGTCAGATCATGGTAATTTATTAACTGTGGGACTGTAAATGGACGCAAAATTCCAACAATCTGCATATGACTTGAGTGACACAGGCGATACAGAAACTTTATTTAGTACACAGCGAACCGATAAGTATGTAAATGAAAAGACAGACAGTGAGATATATTGCGTACATAGACATTTTAACCCACGTATTCCATCAAAAGAGGGCATGGAACTAAGTGATAATAAATTTCAATGAATTACTATTGTAGGTCGATTGTTTATGTTTAACAAATGGTTTATTTCCAGAGATGGAGAGCACGGCCTTAACCTTGAATGCCCTAATTTATAAACACCAAAGGATTAATTTTCCATGTGTAAACAGAACCAGAGCATTAGTGAAAAGCCTTGACATCTCAATTAGAATATGAGTAAGTAAACATACGAGTCAATAATTGAATTTAATTGAATAAAATGAGATTTAAATTTACAAATGCTCCTTCTCATTTAAGTATCCTGAAATTAATTATATGGTTCGATTAAACATTCTTTTCCCTACTAGCGTGTAATGTAGGTATAATTATATTGATTCTTTTGAGAATTTTCTCAGAATAATATATTGTCGCCATTTTTTATTCTGTTAGCCCTTGTGGTTAATACAAATCTGTCTCAGTAAATGTCAACTGTCATGGTGACGGTTTTACATTGACAGACTCGATTCCACCAAAACTTTCTTTTTTTTTTAAAATTTTACAATTCGACGCCCTTTATTTACTCTCGAGTGGCAAATTTAAAAATACTTCCATTTTGGCATTAACAAACTAGTGACTGAAATTTTCAACAATTAGGTATAGGTACACAAATCTAACAACGTATACGTTTTCTATATAAGTTCGTAAAAGTTAAAACCTAGGAGAAAAGAAATTTTGACAAAAAAAGAGAGTTTTACAACAAAAAAACAGAATGATGTCAAAACAAACTAATTTTAATAATGACATTGTAAAACGACAACGTTTGAAGCATACGAGTGCGATGGGACAATGATAAGGACAATCATAAAGGTTATCTAGCCTCCTTGAACCGCCACTTTTTGACTGTATTTTTAAACTGCTAATAAATGCTAATGAAAAACCCGTAGGATTTTATCTAGATCGCCTGGTACCTTTCAAGTACACGGAACTATAATAACCTGTTTAGTAGCGGAAAATGTTGTAAAAATAGAATATATAGTAGCAATTTCCATTTCAAATCGAATAAAACTATTCATCTATTTAGATCGACTATATTAAGAGCAGAAGGGGATAATAAAATGTCGAATTAAATTAAAATAACTGTTATATTATACAAGATGTCTATTTAATTTGCAGTTGGATTTTGCAATGTGGATGTTGATTATCGAGGTAAATACGAAGGATATATGTACATTTATTAAAGTTGATATACCTTCTCATATGATTGTGCATAGAATACTTAAAAAAATATTCAAATTGATGTTGTTACGTTCGATTCTGTTTATAATGTCAAATTAATTAGTGCTGAAACTTAAACTTAACTTGAAGCAGATAGATGTTAATGGTTTTCCCTAAAATGCAATCAATTCTTAAAAGACATAAATATGGAAATGCCTACCTACAATTAAAACGCATGCCTGAGATACTCCATCGTGACATTTTTTCCATTGCGGTCTGCGCCACTTTCAGTGATCGCATTATCAAGTATTGCATAATTATGATGTCTCATACATAATTCATCAAAGGAAAATTCACTAAAAGCTTTGCACATTCTTTCGTTATCAACATTATAATTAGAGTGGAGATGAAAAATAGTATTATGTGGGGTTAATATAGATTTATTTTTGTATGATATAGCATTAAAACAAGAAGTATCATCAAAAACATTAAAGCCTGTAATAAAAACGTCAACTATTAACGTAATATGAGTCATTACAAATATTTCTTAGGAATCTTCCTTACTCTCAATTTTAAGAGCCTAATTTGCTTTAAATTCGTCCTTATTGACATGATCATTAACAAGGATAATACTATCACCAACGTGTATTTGATCGTGGGAGGCATTTTTATTTCAACCTTGACGAAGAAAATCTTGAATGCCTATTGGGTTTCAAGCAATGTTTGGATAAAAAATATGTCAAAGTATTTACACACAACAAAGGTTATCTTGTTGATTTCAATGTAAATTATATGTAAAAAGTTATATGAAATAGTCACGATGTACGAATTAACGTGGTCTTATGTATCGGTGACGCGACTGTGCGAACTATCTCGCTTTGTGTACAATGTATTGTGATTCATTTCGTCATCATTGTTGATAATCTGCGTCAAATAGTGACAATTTTACGCTAACAATAATGTTTCATAGCGTTACAACGAAAGAGGCCTCATTTTGGAATTTGGACCAAACATTAGGCGCTTTTTATTAACGTCTGGCATTTGAACTTGATTATTTCTTTTAATATTAGATTCATTTTTTCGTCTGTTCCCATTTAAATGTTTTTGAACTAAAATAACAAAGATATACATATTACTAGATACTAAATATTATTCATTTCGTTCATGACATTAAAACTCTTAGTAACATCTGTAAAGGAATTTTATTTTCATACTTCAGCGTTTCTTAACGGTATTAATCGATACGGTATTTATTTTGCAAACTTGAAGTACATATTAGCAATATTAGCATTATCAAAATGTTGTACACATGTCTCGGTATCTAATTTACTCAATTTGCAATCTATTTGAAATCAGATTAAAGTGCAAATGACTTCCAGCTATCAGATACCTACAGTGATCGGATGATGAACTCAATTGTGGCCTAAACTTAACAATTCTCGAATAATGGCTTTTGTACTGTAACCACCACAATATACTCTAGAATAGATCCGGTGATTTGTCACGAGATTACGCAAGATTTTGTGACTGCTTTGTACTTTATGTGAAGTGTATTATTTAAAGTAACGCTATGCACGCAACAGGTGCAAGTTAATTAACACCCAGTATATCTGCGCTCACTCCCACCCGTCAGAAATGGTATAAACTATTATCTGCCAACTCAAGAATTCAACTGACATAAACGACCAGTTATCTAATACTTTACGATCACCACTAACTATAATACAAATGAATTATTAAAACATAACAAAAACGTTACCCAATTTATCCACTATCTCATGAATGTAAACTTGTTTATTTTATCGAGTATTGATAACATTACAGTAAGTACTTACGCTTCGCTCTTGTCGTAGACAGGGAAGGTCTGGTGAGTCAAGTCCTGTAAGGACGAGCTGGTCTGGGGCTCAGCGGAGATACCCTGAGCCCTCTGCTTCCTCGGACCTCGCGATCCTCGAGCATACTGCTGGTATGGGAACACGCTCTGCAACTTATCCAGTTGCGAGCGCAGTTCCAACATTTCCTGGTCGCGTTGCTTTAGCAACGCTTCCAGTTCTCGTATCCTCTCAATGAGAGGCTGCATGTCGTTCGTCATTGTCGCGTTAGCAACACAATTCTCAGAATCAGCGTTCATTGCGCTTGGAGTCCCCATTATACCATTTAATTCAATCTCTCTATAAGTTTCGTTTAAAGCACGCCTATCGCCGTTCACTGTGGGCGCCACGGTAAGCGCTCCTCCACCTGTATTCACTAAGGCCCTCGGCTCATCGTCAGCAGCTGTTCGCTGTGACGATCCAAAGCAGAGGGTGTCGAAACACACGCGCATTCACTCGGCTACCGAGCACTGAACGGAATCACTAGGGATTTCACTTGTTTTATTGTTAGTTATTGTACTTTAATGTCCACTATCACTGTGAGTTGTTTCGTACGGTGGTCGAACACGGTTTAGGGAGTTGCAGGATGTGTGTGGGTCGGGTGCGTGCGAGCCGTGCGGCGCGGGCGCGGACGAGCGGAGTAGTGTAGATACGCGCGCGCCGACTGTCCGCTGTCGAGGAGTCAGCCCCGCGTGTCTCGGCACCGCCCTGAAAATATAATTTTCTTGCTTTAGTATGATCATTAAATGTCATTTTTAATAACAATTTGACCACGGAAAATCATTTCTAACCATCGTTTGCTATCCATAAAACAGAAAGAAACAATAATAAAGACCTTATAACATTTTCTAAATCGTATAACTTGGTTATAAAACAATAATCAATTAAATTATTTAATGGCTTAAATAATCAAGCTAAACTAATCAACAATTTTAATTCTATTTTACCTAAGTATTTGTAGAACGACCAGCAGTCTTTTGTTATTAGTTATTATAGATATGAATGAACGACTCTTCAAACGCGTCATATCTTCGTAGAAAATACATTTGAAACAGTTTATAGTTTGTGAAGAAAATGCTAAAAGGAAAATTTTCCGGATAAGAATATTTTATCAAAGCATTTTAACGAAGGCTTCTGAAGTGATTTTACAATACAATTGATTGCTTATCAACCTAGTTTAAGGGGCGATAAACAATATCTGTTTACATCTGGTAGGAAAGATCATTGATCACCTGATTCATGCGCAACAATACAACCACATGACATTTTTTTAATCTAATCGTAAATCTTTATTTGACACAACATGACGACGAGACGTCTCGATAATATAATGAAGTAGATGTTTAAAATATTAATTGTAAAATGTAGAAAAAATAGAGAGTATCTTCAAAGGAAACAAACAACGTTAATAACCACTTTGATACTGAAGAAAATGTAATTGCTGACAATGACCTCAAAACATTGGCTGTTTACGATATTGAACACGTGGTACGACACAAATTTTCCGCAATGGAAAGTCTCACAAAGTCTCACATTGGTATTGAACCAAGCTATAATTAAATTGCAGATAATCCTAAAACCGTTGGAAAGGGATAAGAAACCGGTTAATTAAGATCACTAGTTATAAACATACGTGTGTATCAAACTAGATAAAGTAAGACAGTGACTGGACTTCTATATTAAGAAATCAGTTCCAAGCTCGACACATGACATTTAGAAGATTAAAACGTAGTAGTATTAGTAATGATAAACTAAAAGTTACGCAGATAGTTATCGTATCTTTCAAAACAGTATTAATCAAACTTATAGATAAACTATGTAAAATTAATTTGAAGTTTTAATCAAGAGGAGATATTTTTAGCAGAGACACTAAAAAGTATGGCAGACACCCTCAACTGTATAAACAATTTAGTTTTAGCAAAGATAATAAAGTGGATATGACAGGTTTGGGGCAACGCGCCAATACAAATGAATTTGTTATATCAAAGCGGGATTAACGTAAATATTTTAGTGGATTGTGGCCACGAATAAAACCTAACATGGGAAACAAATTTTAATTGTAGAATTTCCTTAAATAACATCGTACGTTTTGGTAACACTGTGACTTATTTTGGTAAAACGTTGTTGATGATTCTAAAGCATAACTATAAAAAGTTTCTACGATGCTTTTAATTGCCAGACATAATAAAAAATCAACAGCGGTAAGCTGGCAACAGTCTAACCAGACAGAATAAGAAATGAAAGACTTTTATCGTCAGTAGATGCAGTTACCAGTAGCATTATCATGACAAGATCAATTGTTGCAGTAACGGGATCACATAATGCATTAAAATTATCTTGTTCTATATTATCATTGTTTTCGCAAACACCATTAGTAAACAGTACAAGTGTATTAGAAACTTCTTTAGCATCATTATCCTTAAGGACGAACATGAGACATTGACATAATGAAATGTTAATTTTAAACGACCTTACTCCGGTTTAGTTAGTGGGCGTTCTTGTTCCGTATTAATTGTTCTGTTCCGGTGGGTGTACATAAAATATCATCACCAGTAAAGGGCGGCTCATATGCACACAATTGCACCATATCGTAGAATATTGTTCGAATTGCCACACCCATCGTGGCTAAATATATTGAAATAGCGTGACATAGCTATCAATGTTCATATTGTTCGTGTTCAATTACTGTAATTTCCTTTTTTTTGTTTAACTTTATTTTCATTAATATTAAGTTCTTATTAATAGATACTTAAACATACAATAACACAGCTATTAGGTACATAGTCCATATTCGTCTTTTATGTCCTGGGAATAATCCCACCAATGTCTCAATTTTAAATAAAAATCAAAGAGATAATCAGAAAGACTTACTAGAATCGAAACCAATATCTTAACAGTGAAAACACAATCACCGATACGATGAAAATTATACTACAGACGCTGTCACCAATTTAAATTCTCTCAACGGATATCAAGATGATCTTTTAAGATTGACAGTTCGGTATTTCGCCCTTCAATAACGTCTTGCGCGATAACTTGGAAGAAAACCCGTTGCGACTGGTTACCATGTTCCAAATAAAGTGTTTATTTGCGTATCTACTCGTTAAAATCTGTTTAACAAGCTTTATGTAAACATAACAATGTTTATTGAGTCCCACAGTAAGATATTGCATGCCCGACCGGCGTGTGTTACTTAAAATGTTATTTATTTTCTCAACTGTTAATTGAACGGCTCGGAAAATAAATGTATAATTGGTAAATATTTATTTTAGCGGGTAATTTTCTGTAATGAAATATTTAAATAAAACCTTATTTGGTATGATATTTTCACGTGATTTTTAGCACAGTGTAAGCTGTCTTGATCAGCTTTCAGTAGATTTTAGATGTGGCTTTTTGCATACGACGTATCACTTCTCATGAGTAGTTGTTTACTCGTTCAAACCTTATTGAAAAGCACACATTTTTATACACTTCGATTGAATCATATAATTATGAAATTGTACTTCTAAGACTTACTTAAATATTTATAACTGGTAGGAATACCTATACCTAAATCTTATAAGTAGGGAAGTTGTTTTATAGTCAGTTTTAATGCATTCATCACCATAATTTATGGCATTCCAAGAAATATAACCACATCCTTTCATAAATTCACGAAAGGAAATATCGTGAAATGATTTTTGAATACTATTTTTATCTAGATAATTAGTTCTCTTGGTTGAGCAGCTGTGAAATGACCATTGCCAAAAATTAGATTTTGTTTAATTTTCCTTATAGCGTACAGAGGAGAGTAAAATTCATACCTGGGTGACTAATAATCTCATTGAAAACAATTTCATAGAATCACTACTGACTTCATCTGACATAACATGCCAAAGGCGCAATTGATTCAATATAATCTATAAAACCTATATTTGTTCAACTTTATCTAGTTTCTGATCTACAAGTTGCTAGTTTTAAATACCAGTTTACTGAGTTTAAATCTAAACATAAATCACTTTTATATCACGTACAATTATGTAGGCAACCGCTTTCTGAGTAATATTTCATTGCTAGAAGTCGAAAGTGGCCTTTACGGGTCAGTTATTAACACCCGTCTTACCGCCAACCGAGCAAAAACTACTTTTTTAATGACAGGCGTCACTGGTTCTACTGGAATATGCATCTGCAGTGCATGTTTGTTTAATGCGTGGATTTTCATTTACCTTTACGGCATTCAAACTTACAAACAAAACATTTTTGATTTCGACATGTGTGCTGTCGTTAGAAATATATTTAGCAAGTACATCGTATCTCTTTTCTTTTGTATCATCTGACATTTAAATGGGCTCTAAAGTCTCATCAACATCTAAACGGTACTCATTAATATATCTGTTGCAATCTGTTCCTGTTATAGAACTGTCAACATAATAAACGGTTATTACATTAATATTTTTTTTCATCACATTCAACAACTTTTTATAAAATCATTATAATTAATCAGGCAGCTATACTTCACTTCTAATTGAACATGTTCTACTCATAGTTCTAATATAAACTTACAATATTGTCTTATTTATAACCAGCGACCGCAAGTAAAGCAGATCGCGAGTTGCATTATAATGTTGTACCTAATAAGTACTTAGAAAAACATTTGCATCAACAATTGCATATCCAACTTATCCTACACCGCTGTAGCTTAGTGCAGTATCTCAGATATAGATTACTTTACAAGGTGATATGATGTCAAGTTTTAGTCGCATGCAATACGTATGTGAAGTATGATTCATTGGGGTTAAACCACTATTGGTTTCTGTACCAAAATAACAAAAAACGCCTACAAGCTTAACAAGTGCAATTTCTATTTAAAGGACTCGGGTACCAAATAAGACTAATACAATGATATTCTGCGCAAGACAATGCACTCATAAGGGCCATCACGTTCCATCTACGTGACAGCCCTGTTAGCTTCAATCCCGGACTATTTTTAGAACAGAGTCAATTAAATTCAATTCTTCGCTTGAGGGTTGTCACATGGACAATTATGTGATTTATGAGTAACGAGGCGGTTGTGTGTGTGTGACGTGGCATTTAGTGAAATCGCGTTTATTTGGAATTAAGAATAATTGTTCTTCATCGTCTGGCGGGCTATTAAACAGAGTGTGTAATAACAATTTAGTGGTTTTGTTTTGATCAGTTAATCGACTGTCTTTATTGTTGTCAAGGATACAGTTGTCAATGCCAATTAGTTTAACAGCAGGGACAGTAGGGATATTATTGTTTAGTTCATTTTGTTGTACTTCATTTACAGTACTAGTATCATCACTAGATTCATCTTGATCCAAAAAGTCTTTACATCTTTTGTCAGTTTCTCTGTCTGCAACATTTTCTCGATTATCTCAATCACCAACAGAGAATTAGTCTTTAATGTTTTCATCTTCAACATAATAATCAATTAAATGTTCAGCGCAATTTTTCGTGTAACACATTTCGAAGACGACGTTGCGTTGTCCTATTTTTGTTTGTTCGTCTCTAGACCGGGCGGTGTGTCAATACGGTTGTTAGATTATATTCGTCAGAATAAGGGACTTCCGTACAAGCCACGTTATTAAATAATTGGCTCACACAGGTTAGTAGGTATGCAGTGAGTTTTACGACCAACAGGAATTCAGATCGGATTACAATGACTCTTTTGGTACAATCCTACGAAAGACTACTAGGTTAGTGAATGCAAAGAAGCTGAAGTCCTTTTTTTCTTGACCTTTTCTACATTGCATTTTTGGCAATGGCAAATACATTTGAGCTAATATAGATATTCAGTGGGACATTAACTTTTCATTGCTTATCTTAACTCGTCGTCGAGTACCGGTTTTGTAGACACAATTATAGAACAATACGTTGCGGTCACCGGTGACCGCTTGGTGTTTGACAGTTTAATAAAAACCAAAATTTTACGTGAAATGCGAAGATATGAGACCGTATTCGAATGTCGTGGTGGCTCGGAGGTTTAAGACGCCCGGTTCTCATGCATAAG